GGCGCGGATCGGGCTGGCTGGGTAACACCCGGGAAGGAGCCTCGTGCACGCCGCTCTGAGCACCGGTTTCGGGGACTCACAGCAGCCCTTGATTTCAGTATTAGCTTCATGTATTGAATACAACAAACGCCTTGGAGCTCACCTATTCTTTATTCAGAGGGAGCCTCTTAGAAAGTTTTGTTTCTTTTAAAAGAACTCATGCCTGTTAGAACAGCAAATATATTCTCTGCCATATGTGCTGAGGAAAGCTGGTAAGTGCCATCAGCAGTAAAAGTTACTGTATGAACTTGTGACTTGGTAGGAGCAGCTGTTTCTGTGCATTTGACACCCGGTACACCTTTTTGTGTTTTTATCAGCAATTGCATGCCATGTGCAGCCTTTCATAGTGAAGACTGTACTTTTCTGTACTGCTATGCCATATTAAGAGGTATACTCTAAGATGTTATTCTAATGAGGTAAAATGTCTGTATAGAAATAAACATGTTATTGACTCCCACTCAGATTCCTAATTCACAGAAGCTCCCAAACTCAAAGAAGGGTTTGGGAGCTTCTGTGAATTAAATTCAGCCAGTTGTCTAATGAGTGGAATTAGATCTTCCAGAAAAGATAAATAATTATGGCTTTTTAACTATTTGCCTGATATTTATCTTGTTAATCACTTGTCCAAGCTTATTGTAGGAACTTGAGATGCCACAGGATAGTATAAATGCATACAGATCACATAGTTCAGGAGGTAGTATTTCAAGCCTTCAGTTTCACAGTTAATTCTTTTAATTGGAAATAAACTGAGAAAGTAGGAAAAAACCCCAGGAATTAAAAAAAAAAAAAAAAGCGTTTAGGTCAAAGTGGTGCAAACATGTCAAAACTGATACTAGACCAGCACAATCTACAGTCTTTACATGAGCCAAATAGAAAGATGGCTAACATATCCTTCAACACAATTTTTCAGACATCTCTCTGCATCTTCTTTAAAAAAAACATATAGTTACCTGCTTTGTGTTTAAAATAGTTCAGGACAAAGGTATGAATAAGTTCTGTCAGTAACTAGCTTATCGCTCTGCTTATATGCTTTTGTTTTTTCCCTTTATCAGTATAATTAATGAGTAAACTGTAAGACTGTTTATTTGCTATAATAGGTTTAAAACTTGAACTAACCCTTACCTTATTTGATTTAGAGTTTGAAAGTGTTAACCTAGAACAAGAAAGATGTTAATATTCATAACGAATGCTAACATTCATTAGCTCCATACAATTCACTTCTAAGTCTGATGTGGGACAAATGATAGTTTAACATGCATGCAAATGCTTAGTCCTAACCTAATGAATATTTTAAAATATGTTTGGTCACTTCAGTCTATGTGTTAACATGCCATTTGGAATACTGATGTACCAGTAATAAAGATGTGATGCTTACCTTGTTTTCTGAACAGAACTAATACAGTATTTTGATGTATCACAGGTAAATTTTTCCATAACCTTATGGAGAAAAAGGACTTTGAAGCATGGCTTGATAACATTTCTATTACATTTCTTTCTCTGACGGACTTGCAGAAAAATGAAACTCTGGATCACCTGATTAGCTTGAGTGGAGCAGTCCAGCTCAGGCACCTCTCCAATAATCTAGAGATTCTCCTCAAGAGGGACTTCCTCAAACTTCTTCCATTGGAACTTAGTTTTTATCTGTTAAAATGGCTTGATCCACAAACCTTACTCACATGTTGCCTCGTCTCTAAGCAGTGGAATAAGGTTATAAGTGCCTGTACAGAGGTGTGGCAGACTGCATGTAAGAATTTGGGTTGGCAAATAGATGACTCTGTTCAGGATCCTCTACATTGGAAGAAGGTTTACCTAAAGGCTATTTTAAGGATGAAGCAACTGAAGGACCACGAAGCCTTTGAGACATCTTCTTTAATTGGACACAGTGCCAGAGTATATGCACTTTACTATAAAGATGGACTTCTGTGTACAGGTAGGAAGGACAGAAAACTTGGAGCCTTACAATTCTTTGTTTTCTCCCCCCCCCCCCATGATTAATGACCATTTGCTTTTCCTTTACCAGACAGATTATTTTCATAGTGCTAACACAGTTTAATATGATTCAAGATTACTTTTCCCCCCCCTTCAATTTCTGAAACACGTGGCACACTAATAAACTCATTAGTCCCTTTAATAGGAAAACAAGGAGACCAATTTCTTTGTTGGTTAAAAAAACAGTAACAGCAGGTATCATGCTTCAGATTAGTAAGCCCATTTGAGAAGTATGGATATGTTAGTTATCCTCTTAGAGGATAACTTCCAGTTAAAGGGATCTTGTTTGGGCTATGTGATCACTGCAGTCCCCCAGGGTGTGGAAGGAAAAGTCTGTCTTCTTCCTTGAAACAAGACAATTTCTCTGATACAGTCTGTAAGCACCTTCAGTTCTTAACGTAAGTGCTTGTATGAAGACCTGTAAACTAAATTTAACCTTGCTACTAGTCTGACTTGCACATTGTAATGATAATTTCAGCTTCCTTCCTGAAGACTGCAGACTTCAAGATTTCAATTTGAATTTAAAAATATAGCCAGAACAAATATGAAATCTTAAGTATGAAAGAATAGTAACACAGTTACAATGAACTGCTGTCAGAGTGTATTCCAAGGATTTCCCAGTCACTTGAGATGACAATGCTAGAGAATAAGTTGGCAATGCTGGCTAAGTACTCCCACATTTGTTGGTACGTTAAGATGGTTACTAGAAACCAACAACTAGACTCTAGCCAGACTTTCACTTCCCTAGTCAGCAAGGAATGTAAGCATACAGTAAGGAACATTATCAAAACTTTCTGAAAAGTGGCACACTTTGTGCTGAAGCCACCAGGAGAAACAACAGGTGTAAGGGTCTGGGGTTTTATTCTGCTCTCCAAAGCCAGCAGTCTGGACTTACTGTGATGAGTTTAAAAAAAAAAAAAGAAAAAGAAACTTTGGGGAGAGAAAGGAAACTGGCAGGTGATGGAGCCTGGTATTCATCCGCTGTCTTTTGAGATTTGGTGGACTCCTTTCCTACCTGAAACAAATTAAAGCTTGCGGTATAGTCAGTGGCTCTGCAAAACTGTGACGTATCATGTAAAACTTCCATGCGTCTGTTTCAGTAGACACTGTCAATCAGAGGCAGTGCTGGAATCTATGGAAGGTGCTAAAAGGGTATGAGGAAACTGGAAGGCCAGACATCTAGTAGCTTAACTAACATGAAAACAAGAGGCTTTGCTGTAGTGCTGAGACTTAAAACTAGGGCTTATTCCCTATTCAAGCAGCTTGAAAGTACTATTTAATGAGAAAAAGTTCAACAAGGGGAAATGCAAAGCCCTGCACCTGAGGAGGAACAACTCCATGGCACCAGTATATGCTGGGGGCCACCCAGCTGGAAAGCAGCTTGGCAGAAAAGGACCCAGGGGTCCTGGTGGACACCAAGTTGAACACGAGCCACCGATGTGCCCTTGCTGCAAAGAAGGCTAACGGTATCCCAGGCTGCTTCAGGAGAAGTGTTGCCAGCAGGTCAAGGGAGGTGCTCCTTCTCCTCCACTCAGCACTGGTGAGGCCACACCTGGAGTGCTGTGTCCAGTTCTGGGCTCCTCAGTACAAGAGAGAAATGGACACACTGGAGAGTCCAACGAAGGGCCACAAGGATGATGAAGGGACTAGAGCATCTCTCATATCAAGGAAGGCTGAGGGAGCTGGGACTTTTTATCCTGAAGAAGAGAGGGCTCAGGGAGGATCTTACCGATGTACGTAAATACCTGAAGTGAAGGTGCAAGGAAGATGGAGCCAGGCTCTTTTCAGTGGTGCCCAGTGACAGGACAAGAGACAGTGGACACAAACTGAAACACAGGAGGTTCCCTCTCAAACACTTTTTTACTGAGAGAGTGATTGAGCACAGGTTGCCCAGGGATATTGTGGAGTGTCCATCCTTGGACATATTCAAAAGCCATCTGGTCATGGTCCTGGGCAACCGGCTCTAGGTGGCCCTGCTTGAGTAGGAGTGTTGGAAGAGTTGACCTCCAGAGGTCCCTTCCAACCATAACCATTCTGTGATTCAATGAAAATACTATATTTAAAATAAACATGGAAGACGAGTATAGGATTGGAAATATTATTTACTCTTTGCTTCCAATTACCCTGTTCTCTTATATTCTAGGATCAGATGACTTGTCTGCGAAACTGTGGGATGTAAGCACAGGTCAGTGCATATATGGTATCCAGACACACACTTGTGCTGCAGTGAAGTTTGATGAACAAAAGCTTGTAACAGGATCTTTTGATAACACAGTAGCCTGTTGGGAATGGAGCTCTGGGGCAAAGACACAGCATTTTAGAGGACATACTGGTGCAGGTATGTTGAACTTTTCAATTTGTAATTTCACCAGTCAAGTGACATACATCATCATCAAACAAATTATAATTTAAGTTAGCTCTTTGCACGATAGCTTTTTTTTTAGGCTCTGTCCCAAGTCACCTTTTGGGGTGGGGGGGCAAGCAGCCAGAACAGATCTAGATCTGTCTGCCCTTGAATAATGCCAAAGCTTAGCTATGTAATGGTTTGCAGTTGCATGGAAATAATACTAAATGCCATGGTTATTCAGTACTTTCGAGTCTACCAAAAAGATGCAAACCCTAGGTAGCAGGGAGCACATGGCAATAGCAGTTTTTTATATCCCCCGACTGGAGATGGGCTTACAGCAAAGAGCACAATAGGACCTGGGAATCTGTATTTGCATTTCCCTCATAATTAACTTCTCCGTCCTCTACCGCAAAATATCCTCAACTCAGCTGTAGTTCTGTTCCCCTCTAAGTAATGAGATGTATCAAATGTAATAATCCTCCTGGAATTGACTTACTAGAACTCTTAAAATAGGAACTAGCTTAAGTTATGCTTTGCCATAATCAAACCGTAAAGGAACCACTGATGTACATGCTCTTAATTTGGACAAAAATCAGTAATTTTGCAATGTAAGCTTAGGAATCCAGAGCAACAATTCACGTATACAGTTCAAGAACAACAGTTAAATGTTGTTTAAAGGCTGTATGACCTAGTTAGTGTCTCACTTACAGAAAACCGCGTGCATAGAGACTGGTATTCCTTATTTAGTACCCTCTTTGCTTGTAGTTTTTAGTGTGGATTACAATGATGAACTTGATATTCTGGTCAGTGGCTCTGCAGACTTCACTGTGAAAGTATGGGCCTTATCAACAGGAACGTGCCTGAATACCCTTACTGGACACACAGAATGGGTCACTAAGGTGGGAATATTGATTTTTAATTAATCTTGCAAAACACTTACTTGCAATAAGTTTGTAACATGTCCTAAATTTCTATTTCCTAATCCTAACCCTGCACCTAGGTGTAGAATCTGAGGAACATTAGGAAATACTGCAAAATAACATTTCAGCAGAAAAAAAATACTTAAAGAACCTATAATTAAACCTTTCAGACCATTGAAGATATTTCTATTCCAAAGCAGCTGGAATAATATTAGGAATCAGTGTTTGATTCAAAGACTGAATAAAAACAATGGTTCTGAAAGAAAGCTACTTTAAAAATTATGTAGAAAAACTAATGATCTTGATAACCAAAATCTGAGCATAAAAAGTGTTCTGAAGTCAAGAAACGGTATTTTTCTTCTGAATATTTCAGAACTTGGAAGGTGGGGGGGTGATTCTAGAGGTGAAGTACATATCTTCGCTTATTAATACAGTAAGTTGTCACTAGTAGGAACAAGAAAAGTGTAAACTGTAGTTTCCCTTCAGCTGCAAAAAGTATTTGTATTGCCTTTATACAAGAGTACAGTATGCAGGTTGTCAATGAAGTGAAAAATGCAAATGAAAGTTTGGTTATTTAACAGCATCAACATAAATCATTACATCCTTCAACTACAGGTAGTTTTGCAGAAGTGCAAAGTCAAATCTCTTATGCATAGTCCTGGGGATTATATTCTTCTAAGTGCAGATAAGTACGAAATCAAGGTATGTACCATATACATATATCATTTCAGTACCCAGGGAAATAAAATGCTTGAGTGCTTCGCTGAAGTTTACAAATAATATAAGACTTTATTTTCTCCCAAATTCTCTGCTTGTAAAGTTGCATAGAAGACATGCAACTCTTTGAAAGCTAACTTTTCAATGCTTTCCTTCATGTTTCGATTTAAATGATAGCTCTACACCAATGGTAATGCAAAAAATAAGTGCTTTCAGTGCATGCCTAACATGGTAACTTGACAGTGAAGCACTTAACTGCAAGTACCGTTACTGTTGGGGACTTCCAGGTTGGAGAGTGCTGTAAATAGTTTGTGGCTATGGAAGTGCTTCGTAACTGAAACATTGTTACATTTCTGTCCTCTTGGATGGTTGATTTTTTGGCCGTTCTTTAAAGCACCCATTTTCACGGGGATTTTTTAGTCTAGAAACAACACATACTGCAACAATACTGTAAGACAAGTCACTTACAGAATTGATGTACCTACCTAAAGAATATAAATATTTCTGAAAAAACATACACACATTTACCCAATACTTAAAGAGAGACTGTAAGGCTTGCTCTCTTTGTGTAATGGTTTATAATGTGAATATTTTATGGTCTTAAACTGTATTTTAATTGTAGATTTGGCCTATTGGAAGGGAAATAAACTGCAAGTGCTTAAAAACACTGTCTGTTTCTGAAGATCGCAGCATCTCCCTACAGCCCAGACTGCACTTTGATGGTAAATACATAGTGTGCAGTTCAGCACTAGGATTATACCAGTGGGACTTTGCCAGCTATGATATTCTCAGGTAAATCTTTCAGTTTAAAACTTAGTCTTTAAATAAATAAGTAGAACATATTAGTTTTAATAACTTACTTTAGATGTAGGCCAAAAGAATCTTGATAAAAATTCTGTAAACATCTTACTTTACACATATTGCCAGGTTTAATTCTAATTTATCATCTGTTAATATGAATCATTTGATTGCTGTTTTGGTTTCTGGCCACAGGCTAGTCCTCTTTCACATTTTCATTTCGTAAGCTGAAGAGTTTCAATATAGGCTTAAATCAGACTGCAGTGCTGTAGTTGTGAATGTGAAACTGTAGTGACTGGAAGTTAATGTTGCCATGGAGACCGCTCTACAGAGAACCAGGTGGCCATTTCTGGGGGTCCTTTGATGAGACAAGAAATTAAAAAGACTCCTTTTCCTTGTAGCACTACTGATCTATCATTCTCAATAACACTGGAATGATAGTGAAATCTATCAGTCTGCAGTAAGGGATCAAACAGGATTGCATTCTGTTTCTATAAAAAGAACGACGCTGTATCTGTTAGAAATGGTGGCATCAAAGATTGTAACTTATTAAAGAAAAAATTGCATTTTAGAACTGTTAGCAGACTCCTAATTGAAATGGCCTGAATATTTGTAGAGTATCTACCATAGGAAGATCTAGTCCAAAAGAAGTGCTTCTTATCAGTAAGAATAACTGAGTAATTTCATCTCTCAGTTTACCCTCCCATCTTTCAAAAGAGAAAGATGTTCTCTTACTGCTGAGGACAGCTTTTCATCTCCATACATTTTTGTGCCTCAGTTCTGTGCTTTATGTAATGCTATGATCAAATGCTCAGTCAGTTGTGGAAAACTTACTGTCTTCAATTTCTGTTCCAAGTTTTATTTATTAAGGCAAAAATATCCTAAAGGTGTAGGGGACCTAACAAACACTTTTCTTTCTCCCTAAGATGAAAATGCTTAACTTATGCTAAGCATCAGTAAAACAACATTCTGTTAAGGACCAGTCTTGAATGATTTATCTTATCTTCTTATCACAGGAAGGCATTTCTGTGTTTTATTTCCAGCTTCTAAAAGAGTGATCAAAAGAATAATAAGAGGTTTTACCTCTTAATTTAAAGATATTGAGGCATGAAATCACTATGGAAATATACTGTAAAACACAAGTACATTTGCTCTTCTGTGTGTATCTGGAAACAAGACTTTTTTTTCCTTGTGCTGTGCAGAATCCCTTTCAAACCCTAACCTTTACTTATGTTCAGAAGGGTCCATCCTGAATGCACAAAGCCAGAACTGAAACCACAGGCCTGACTGCAGCTAAGTGTTCAGTTGCTTAATTTGAAAAATTTGTATCCAGTTCTTTCTAAATCCTTTCAGAACGATGAGTTTAGACACTTCTTTTCTATAGAAACATAAGGATTTGTTTTAGTAATGCAGGTTCATGATTACATTGTGACAGATTTTTTAACAACATTGTCTTGTCTTCTAGGGTTATCAAACCTCCTGACTTCTCAAATGTGTCCTTGCTGGGCTTTGGAGAGATATTTGCTCTACTGTTTGATAGCAGATACCTGTATATAATGGACTTGAGGACAGAAAAACTGATAAGCCGCTGGCCTCTACCAGAGTATAGAAAGTCAAAGAGAGGTTCAAGCTTTTTGGCTGGTGAAATGTCTTGGTTAAACGGACTAAATGGCCAAAATGATATGGGCTTGGTTTTTGCCACCAGTATGCCAGACCATAGTATCCATTTGGTGTTATGGAAGGAACATGGCTGACAAGCTCACATATGCAGAATCTTCAGGAATATATGGACTATCAGCAGTGTGTCCATAAAATGAGACTTTGCATGAACCAAAGTTGCACACCTAATGGTATCATCATGCAATGCACAATCATTTACTTTTATTTGGGCATTTGGGAATGGGTTGTTTTGGACATAATGCAATACAGCATGCTAACAGTATTCACCACAAAATTTTGTCTGTACTCATGTTTAAGCATACCTGTTTGGGCTCTGAAGCATAGCTTGTAACTTTTAAACCATTCAAATCCACCATCGTCTGAAATGAAGTAGTGCTTGACCTGACTTCTGACCTATTTTTTGTTGTTGAAACAGAAGGTGGAGCTACTATTTTAGAACCATAGGCTTTTGTACATGTAACAGCAAATACTGGTTACAGTGCATGGCTGCTTAACTCAAATGAGAAGATAGCAAACCCTTTCTCTCTCCAGTATCATTCTCTTCAAAATGTTTTTTCCTTATGATAGCTTTAAATACTTAGCCTTTGAAGTAGAAGAATCAAATGAGTCCTTTAACTAGAATCAGATGCTAACAATAATAATTTGTTTAAGTTCAGGAACATGTCAATATGAACTCTCCTCAGCGAGAATGAGCCAACTTTTCAACTATTTGATAGAGCTTGCCATCGCAATTAACATTAGAGAACCTCTGACAGTATTCATCATATTTGCTGATGGTAACTCAGAATGGCTTGATCAGTATTTTGTAGTCCATATTTCCTATAGTTTGTGTGAGAACATAACTTAGTTCACAGGTAGGTAGAAATATAATGAATGGGAAGATGATGTTCAATCTCTACAGCAAGAGTCACTCTCTTCAATTAAATGATGTCTAGCAGCCATTCACTTTTTCCAAAAGTTGCAGTTAATATAATCATGCACTTAAAGTACTTGCTACATCTAGATTTGGAAAGCAGGGGCAAGTAACAGTGAGAAGGCCACATCTCTGAGGGGGAAAAAAAAAAAAAAAAAAAAATCAGAAGTCTGAAGAAAAGCATAGGAGTAGAAAAAGGTCTTTTGCTTTGATCATCATAGGAGACCTGATGTACACAAGTTAACTATTGAGTAGCAAATACCTATCCACATACTTTTGTGGTATTTGACATGTACTTAAAAGCTGTATCTATGACATCACATGCTTTAGAAACGCTTTAGGTTGGTTTCCCCTCCTCCCTTACAATAAAATTTCCCCTTAATGTCTATTTATTCTTTTTTTTTTTTTTTTTTACACAACTTGAAAACATGAGTTTTCATGAAGATTAGCTCATGTCCTTGAAAAGATAAAACTGCCTAGCATTACTATTGTTAGTATGATTTTTTTTTTCTTCCCACTATCCCAGGAGACCTAATTTCATACTTAGTACCGAACAAAGGACAAGGTTCCCAAATGTATGCAGTATGAGTTACACTAATGGGAGTTTTCATATGCAAGAATCAGTATTTGAGTGATGTGGTACGGATTGCATGAAGTCACAGTGGAGCAGTGTCTCTTGAATACAAGGCTAGAGTCTTAAGTACTTGGTTTTCCACTTTTATTGACACAAACTTACTTTGAAAATGTGCTTGTAGTCAAGGATTTTATCAATTGGAAGCCAAATTCACAGTTCTCAATTCAAACCACACTGACGGGGGCACAAATGATGATCTCTTAGAGCTTTTGTTGTCTGTCTCAGAAGTGAAGAAAACTTACATGAAGCAGAAAGCTTTCAAAAACTTGTCTTGAAACCCAGTTCTCATCATTCTTAATGTCGTAGTAACTATACTGTGTATGATGCGTGCAACAACTCAGCTTACTCTGAAAGAGCCATGTGATGATGGGCCACCTATAAAACATTGCATTAGCTTTGAAAGATTTCTTCACAGCAGGAGTTTAGACAGGAGCACGCCAAAAATGTCCTTGTACCCAAATCAGCAAAATATAGAGTGAATATCTGGACTGCAAGATGAGTAGAAAATGGGCTGGCCTGCCAAGCTCAAAGAGTGGTCATCAGTGATACAAAATCTAACTGGTAATATTAAGAACATTAATAGAAATGTTCTTCAGGGGCTAGAATTAGTTAATTTCTTTATTAGTGACCTTTATGATGCAGAATCCACTCTCAGCAAGTTTTCAACAATACTAATTTGGAGGGGAAGGGGAAACCATGGGAACGGGAAGCAATCAATATGCAAGAGAACAGGGAATGCTATCCTGAGGGTCCTCAACAAACTGGACAAGTGGGCTGACAGAAATCTCATTAAGTTTAACCAAAGCAAATGCACCATCCTGCATCTGAGACACAATCACCCCACACAACAGGGTTGGGGCCAACTAGATGGAAAGCAGCTTTACAGGAAAGGACATGGGGATACTGTTGCACAGCAAATTGAACAGGATTCAGCAATATACCCTTGTGACAAAGGTGGCCAACAGTATGCTGAGCTGTACTAACAAGTTCATAGCTAGGAGTTCAAGGGAAGGGGTTCTTCACCTCTGTTCTGTGCTCAAGGCCACATCTGAGTCCAGTGTTGAGTTCCCCAGTACAAAACAGACTGACACACTGGAGCAAGTCCTGTGAGAGGCTACAGAGATGGACTGGGAGATGGAGCACATGTCTGAGAAACTGCGAGAGCCGAGTTCAGCCTTCCAGAGAGAATGGTGGGGGAAAGGAAGGTGGCGGTGGGCATGGGGTGGGGAGGCACTGCTACCTAATAAGAAGGTATAGAGAAGACAAAGTCAGACTCATCTCAGCATCATGCAGCAGGACAAGGGCCAATGGTCACAAATTGCAACGAGTAATTCCAACTAGCTCTTCTCCACTGTGAGGATAGTTTAAGACTGGAACAGGTTGCCCAGAGAGGGATTGTGTGTCCAGTTTACCTATACGAAGTCCTGAGCAAACCATGCTACCTTACCCTGCTTTGAGCAGGGAGTTGGACTTCCAGAGGCGCCCCTTCTAAACTATATGAGTCTAAAATTCTAAATGAATCTCTTGCCAAGCAAGATAGTACCACTGCAGCAGGCACCTTTGATGTTAATGCAGTTGCCAGAGTTTGTTGATACAGACTTTGGGAGATGATGCTGCCACTGTGAAGCAAATATAACGGTTTGTTAAAAGCTGTGAAGTGGTAGTTGGAAAGAGATTCTGCCACAAGTATTTCACAAGTTGCAGAAAATTTTAAACAAATTAAGGACTCTAAATTCTCCTTTTCTGCATTATCCCAGAGTATGCAAGCAGAAAAGCATGAGAAGCATCCAAGACACACTACGCTGCTCTTCTACCCTTTTAGTTTTATAAATGAAGTTTTAGCCTGTTACATAGCAGCTGATGATTATTATAAACACAATTAGCAAACAGTTATTTACAGAGTGTCTCTTGAAGACTTCCAAGTAGAAGTTCCACCTGGACATTTGCTAGCTAATGATACTAATCCACTAATGACAGAGCTCCTTAAGGGCATAGGTACGTGCCACCGCAAAACAGATGAAGGAATGAAAACATGACACTAGTGTAGAATTAAAAAAAGCATACCTGCTCTCACATACACACTTCTCTGTCACACACCGAAGCATCAGACTATCATTGCCCCCAGATGTCCCTTCATAGGACAGTTCTAATACATTGCCACATCAGTACAATGCACATGGCTTTGGGGGCTTAGCAAACAGAAAAAAAACATGACTGAAATTGTGAAACTACAGTGAGCAAGTGTTTTTTGTTTGCTTTGCTTTCCATCTGACCCTTCAGCAGACATTAATAACTACTTGGCATTATTTTTAGATAAAGGTTGGAAAAGATGCAGCTTCTGTACCCTTACACCTACATCAGGAAGCAACATAATTCAACTTACCCATCACATAAAGGACTAAAATCCACCTGATGTCTAATTTTCATGAATGAAGAAACAGTTTGTTATGAGGCTTCAAGGTCCCAGAAAAAAAAAAAAAAAATTATGTATCATAAGTAGCTGTTCATCCATCCATTTTTCCACCTGGAAATAGCCACCTTTTCCGTTCACAATAGTCTCTTTTTCTTCAACATCAATCTGTAACCCTTGCCTCTGTTTTAAAGCTTTCCAACATGACTCAGCACTTACTGCTTAAGTAATTCAGAACAGCTGTGGGTAACAAAAGAGAGATCATCCTTCTTCTTAAACTTACATGTCTCAAAACCCCAGTTGAACAATCATTTGGATCAGCAAAACTCCAACAGCTATGTTTAGCGTTACAATACATCACCACTTTAACAAACACTATTTCCAAGAATATAAGGGTTCATTTTTTTGCAATTGAAACTGGTAGATTTTGCTCAATTATTTTCACAATGTATTTGTTTACCTTTTACTCAACTTGGTACATACAAATTTTGTACCCAAACAGTGACATACAAACTGCAAGAATTAAGCAACGTTACCTTTAATACTAATGACTGTAGTTGTATTTTTTTGTACATAGGTTGAAAACTGTCTATAGCCTTTTGCATTATTTGAATCAGTTGAGAAATACTGATTTTTTTTTTAAATAGAAAACAAACTAATTTTACATTTTCCGGAAGAAGTAATACCATCTGCATTGATCCTTGGTATCATTAAATGACTCATGGCTCTGCTACAAATTCCTGTGTCTCTAGAGAAGAAATACCTCTAACAAGTCACAGTTCCAGTGCTACAGCTGGTGTGTTTTCTTATCCTGCCTCTGTGATTATAATGAGTTACAGTGTTAATGCCAATGCAGCTCTCCACCTGGGAGATGCTGTCCCAAGCCATCTTTTAATAGGCACCACTAAGCACAGCTGTATTTTTTTATCCACCAAGTACTTCAGAGATACAAATAACCAAAAATCAATTCATTCCTTCTTCAGGTAGTTTACAGATTCATTGTACTAGCTAAAACATATATGAAGATGGGAAAAGAAAAAGAGAGAAAGCTGGAAATTGGTACATTAGCTTTCTAATTTCTGCATGGTCACTTCCTAGGCCTTGAATAATGCCCTTTCATAGTTCTAGCCATGTAAAAGAGCTATCTTCTCACTGTGCCTCAGCTCTCACATCTTACAAAGTTGCAGTAGAGACTTTACCTGAGGAACCCAATTCTTAACCAGCACTTGATCACCGTGGACTCTTCAACGGTACATACAAAGGCACAGTACATAAAAGGGCTGTTCTCCTAAATCTGTAAGATGTAAACTTCCCGTGGAAGTGATTTTAATGTGATCTTTAAATGATATCCTCTGCCTCTCCATGATACGGGCAGCTCTCCACTGTCCCTCCTTATGACCGAGGTTTCACTTTTGAGCTTACAGTATGGTTTGATATAGCACCTTGTTAACATTCATGACTAATGATAAGTTATATCTCCACAGTGTGGTATCCCTGATGAGGGATTCTCTGGGAAGGTTTCCTTGAAGGGGCACCCGACAGTGATAAATGAGGGCAACATCCATGGGAACATCCACACTGTTCCCATAAGCACGTAGGACAGAGTGGACTGAAGTCTGAATCACCTTTCGTGGATCAATTATCAGTTTCTTGGGATTGATTACATCTTTCCTGTCAGGCTCTCTGTGAACATGCTGTAATATGTTAACACCTGGCACAGTATTCCAGGATGAAATGTTGAACATGTGTGTAGATATGGTTTCTGGGAAGATATGGTTCTCAAAGAGGAAAATGCCAGTCCCTGGGTTTTGCTCCAGAAGACTGCTCATCATTGATTTCCAGTCTGGGTGCTTAAGGGGAAGAATTATTTCATCAACATCATTAAGAACCACAAACTTGCTTCTCTGCATGTTACGGTATATACAGTCATTTAGAGCTGTGATTTGTCCATAGTAGCCAATGTGTGTTCCATCTTGCATGAAGTGCCATTCAGAAGAAACCTTGAGGTGTGAGTTAATTGGCCAGGGAATTATCTCTACAGTTCCTTCTTCCACATAAAACTTCAAGACTTTCTCCATCAGATGGCTGCAGTTGTTCTTATAGATCACCACTTTCTGTACCCCAAGAATCTTGTACATTTCCATACTCTGTATAAACTGCAAGACGTTGTTGTAATTTCCAAACATGGCAGAGATGCATACAGTGAAGTCAACAGAAAAGGTCTCAGCCTTGCGGTTTTTAATTTCAAACCTTGGCAGCTGGTCAATATTTCCATGTGGAGACTGATGAATTGATACATGTGTTGGATCACAGTTTTCGGGTTCCAAACAAACTATATCTGCTGCACCGTAAGGAAATCCAAATCTATCTGAGTGAACATCAATTTTTGCTTTTGATACATATATCTTTCCATCAGGTGGACAGCAGAACCAGCAGTATAGTTGTTTTACATCTTCATGATGAACAATCCCAATCACACGAGTGACTTTGCTTTCTCTGTCGTCGAAGTATGGGGATATAATAAAAGTTCTGTTATCTTTTAATGCTGTTATTATGCTATTGGTAGTTTTCCCTCTACATCTGCTACCTTCTTGAATTATTTTTGGCAGGTGAGAAAGTCTCTGTAACCTAAGATAAGAAAGTGTGACCATTGAAGTTAGAGTAATAATGCACACAGCAGCAGCAAAGTAAGATTTTTTCCCACCACACAGCATTTTGAATGTATCTAAATGTGGATGCAAATTTCTTTGTCCTTGCAGTTTATGCTGCCGCATCTGCAGAAAAGAAAATATGTAGTATGAGATAATATTGACTCATAATCATTGCTCAAGAATTTCACAAACAAGATGGGGGGCAAATCTCTATCACTTTGCACTGACTTAATCAGAGACCCAGCTACTGTGCTTTTATGAAAAATCAATCACGGAACACACCTTTAATGGGATGAATGATACTCTGAATGCCTCTATGTGTCAGATGTGTGGAACATCTTCTGTACATGGAGGGTTTTGTGAGATGATATGATAGAGGTCTACATACAGGAGAACAAGGAGCCTTTATTCATTATTTTCTTTAATCCAAATTTTAGAACATCCAATTAAATACTTAGGCAGTAATTTTTAAAGCAAAACAAAAGCTTTCCCCCCCCCTACATGTATATATAAATTTTACACACAAAAAAAAAACCTCAACTGGACTTCTCACAGACAAGTTAGGGGCAGACATAGAAATTAAATGTATACAGAATTAATCAAGTTCATAAAAAACATGGCAACTGGGGATTGCACATGATGGTCCAGATACAATCTCTAATGTATAAATTCCCTAACTTGCAGTTCACCACCAATGACACAATACATACAGAGGAAGGTCAATTCATACAATTCAGCAGAAGACAGGTGAAATCTATGGGGGTATAAAACTTATTCTCAGTTACCAGCTTTACCCTACTTAGCACTGTACAAGGCAGGGCTTGCAGGGAAGGTTGCCTCATATTATGCTTGCTAGATATCTGGGCTTCCTCACACTGCATTAATGCTGGCTCAGCTCCTGGCATGTTTTGGACGTCAAGTCTTAAACTCTTGCTGCTGCAGGAATAGATAGGCATCCCTGACTACCTGGATGGCCAAAGTCTTCAGCGGCACTCGTGCTAGCAAGTGTTAATGCCTGACAGGGAGCTCATGATACTCTCAAGCAGTAATTTCTGCAAGTGGAGCTCAGATTAAAGTTTCCTCTACAAATTCATCTTTAGGCATCCAGATATGATCCATAAACAGTAAGGTGACAGCAAGTATCTTCAAAGGCCTGCTTGTATCACAGGGATTCTTGGAAGAAGAGTGCCCTAGATTAATCAAATTCACGTTAGATCAGAAAACTGGACTGGTAGAAGAGAGTATCCCTGACTGCCAGCAAGAAGTGTGGGGTAAAATGCCAAGATGGAATAAACTGATTCTATTGCACAAGATGAAGAAAATGTTTCTAGTAGGCATGTCATTGCTGCATAAAGCCAGCTGCTGAGAAAAACCATCATACCATTAAAAGACTCAGATTTCTAAGTATATATTTTATAGCTAAAACAGGTAGCAATGTCATAGGTGTAGCAGATATTGGAAGATTCTCATATTTCTTGTCCTTTCATTTACTTCTCAAGACTCTTAATAAAATCACTTGCTTAAGTACTTAGTAATCTCAGTATCTTCAGAGAGTATGCACATACTAAATATCTAACAATACTTTTTCCAAAGCATATTACTCAGTCTATTCTAAAATGATAATTAAACCTAATATTACATACTTGTTTTCTGCATGTTACACATTGTGTAGAGCTATTTTGAGAGCCTCTATCTTGATACTGTTCTGTGATGGAACAGAAAACTTGCATTTTCAAAGAAAAGTAAGAAAGATACAAAACTAGAAAGAACCTAAATCCATAGTTTTGATCCAGATATCACACTCAGCAGTTTCATAACTTTGGAAGTGCCTAAATACACTGGCAACTTCACTGCTTGGCTTGAAAAATTCCCCTAGTGTCTGGCTTTCTGCTTAAACACAGTATTTTCCAGCCAGTAAAATCTAGCATCTGAATACAGCGATCTAGCTTCTGAATCTCAACTGAGTTTAGGCAAAAAAAATTGCCCACGCCTTCAGAATAATGTGCAATATTTTCACAATTGCTCTTTCCTGAAAAAGCAAAGTAAGGAAAACTATGGTCACAACATTCCCTTTAAAATGCCCCATTTGCCAAGGCTGATATGATTTATAGCAGCCTTTCCTAGTTGCCAAGGAATTGCTTTACAGACCAGAACAGTCATAGGGCACCAGAAATCTCACTACATCACACTAGGCACAAAGCAGAACAGCAGACAGCACTGACTCTTCTGTCTCTGAAATGGAGAGTTCCCCCCTGAAGTCCTTACAATTTAGAGCAGAACTGCAAATACATGGTAAGAGCCTGCTACAGTCATACAACTTTCTGCTGGAGATTTGTGACTGAGAACAACTCAAATTTTGTAAGTCCTTTTATTAAACATTCTAAAGTCAGACAAAAAGTTTCCCCTGAGCATTCTTATTCCCAGGTTGTTATATATTTTAGCATTGTTACAACATAAAGTAGGTCACATTTAACATTTTTTCCTCAGTCTTATCTATTTATGACTTAAAATATTGTTCAGTCTTATAGAATAAGTAGTTTTTACTAAAGAAATATCAAAACATGTCAACATTAAATAATACAACTAATTTATTACCTGTTATAGCTTTTGCTAGCTATAAATAATGAACAATAAAAAAATATATCTTTTCAACTATGTTTTGAACAATGAATATTGGAAAGGAAAAAGTACCTTTTAAAGCAGATGGCTGCATGAAGTTCTGTTCAGTCCTCCATTTATTTTTTGCTAAGGTATAATCTACAAATTGTTTATTCTGACCAGATAAAAATTTAAATATTTTTAAGATAAATTGCAAGAATTGTTCAATACTGAACAATACTGAGGAAAAAAAATGCTGGTACAATACCTAAGACACTTGTTGACGCATTTTATTTCAGATGGTTCATGTTCTTTAATGTCAGGAACAGCAGCCACACCTACCAGAAGAACAAGTTTTCCTTCTCTTGAGCAAAGCATACAGTTGACTCCCAAGAACTTAATCTAGATTACAAATGTGAGTGTGGAGTTGTTGAAGCAAATCAAACCTAGGCGCTCGGGTGATTTTTTTAAGATTACTGATGTTTCCTTCTGGAAATTAATCCTGCATGTTGATATATCCGCAGTTCACACACATACTTAAAGAGAACTAGAAAAATATACTATATATCTGTATTTCTTGGGCAATCATTTTTTAGTAACATACTATAGGCCTAATTAAAATAGGTAAATGTTAGATTCTGATGAGGAACTGTGAGAGAGAACTGAAACAACAGCAAGTTCTAGAAGCAGAGAAAAGAGCAAAACATAGAACTCAAGACACACCAGAACACAGAATGTGTTCTTAAAGAAAAGAAATACGTAATTATTTGAGGAGTGAAATTCATAGTTTTCCCAACACGTGACTCATGAATTTTGATCCCCTGAAATTAACAGCACAGATAGGTAGTCAGAAAATATATAAAGTCAGATTAATTAGGAACATTACATTTATATTTCCTCACTGTAGAGAGTACTTGGCAAATTTTAACTTCAAAAATATGTTTCCAGCATATTTAAAAGAGTTTATTTTATAATAACAACAATAATTCATTCCGGTTTTGTGTCTTTTAATTCCAATTACTATTCAGGTATAACATGATACAAATTATGCAGACTTGCTTTAATACTAAATCTAGCTAATGGTATCAATGGCTACTTTGTACCACTTTGTTCTTTTTCGGTATTCCCCTTAATAGTAAAGTGCCTTTATTCCTCCCTATTGCATATGCAGTCATATCACCTCCTAGTCTTCATATTTGCTACTTTTTCATCAAACAAGACAGGCTGTTCTAATACCATCTCATAAAAAACACTCTTCCTTGACCAGTCACTTCTGTGCGGTTGGCCCAGTTTCAATTAATCTCTAGCACAGGAGACCAGAAACCTCTGTTCCTCGTCCATTCGCACATGACAGTGATAAGCCCTCATCATTGTTGGAAATTTTCTTCTTTAACGTATGCTAGGATCATATTTTTTGCAGATGCATCACATTGCACAGATACATCTGAGCTTGTCATCAGCCGAAGATTAACACATCTACTCAGTCTTTCAGCCAAGTGCAGTTACACAATATGTTTTCTTCTGCAGCAAGGTCATAATAAAGAACTCTTGTCCCAGTTAGAATCATAGAATCATTGAATGGTTTGGGTTGGATAGGACCTTTAAAGATCATCTAGTTCCAACCCCCTCTGCTGTGGGCAGGGACATCTTTCACTAGATCAGGTTGCTCAAATTAATCACATTTCTCCTTTTTTTTTTTGTCATAGTCCTTCTAAAATAACCTTGTATGTGACCAAGATTGCACTTACAAACTTGTGTATACTTAAATAACCTTTTTTTCCCCCCTTCCTCAACCAAAGAACCACTCATGTTTTCTTTTGCCACATTGTAACACTATGCTCACAACACATTAATTAAACACCCGTTACAGGTTCTTCAATAGCTTGTCTGTTTTCTTAGAATTTTGGAATGGAAATTATTCAGTATCACCTTCCAACTGGAATGTTGTTTTTACCTTTGCTGTACAACTTCTATTTTCAGACCTTCTTTTCCATCATCTTTCCTTAACTCTCCACAATTAGCATTGTCCTTACTAAAACGTGGAACAAAGTGCTAATTTAGTTCAGAGCCATTCCTAGATCATTATTAATCTCCCCCATGTTCTCTGCATTGTGGCTTTCCTTTGTAATTTGTTTTCTTTGCATTGAGACAGCTGAAGACCTTTTATGCTGCTCATTTCAGTATCTTCGCAATGTCTACATTGAATTTAATTTTTGATAACTCTCAGCTTATTACTCTATCTCCCGATCTAGGGTAGGATAAGGGGCAATTGACAAGAGGTGACTGCAAAGTTTCAGTTGATAATATACAGTATTAGATTCAGTAGTATGGGAACAATAAACAGCCTAATCCTTGGGTTATCCAGGGTCTAACTAAAAAGGGACCACTACCAAATAGCCTTATTAATTTATTATTTTTGGAAAAAGTTATTCTCTATCCTCTGCTTTATGTTTTTTGCCAAAAGTGACAACACAAACCACTGGTGCTTAAATAGAAACAAAAATGCCAAAGATTAACAATCATTT